ATATATATATATGATGAACTCGACACATTAGTGGGCCACCGCGAGTCACTGTAAAGGCCAGATGTGCAAGGACACTTAATGAAGTCGAATGCTTGGCGCACCCCTCAGGAACTGATCAACGCCGAGAGTTTTATCCTTTATCCTTTTATGTACATAGAAAGTTTAGTGCTATTTCATATGCCTATGATGAGAACTTACATTTATGGATGCAATTGTTCTTAGAACGGTGCCTATTCCACGGCGGTCGGCAGTGTCAGCTGTTCTGTACCTATCATGGTTGGAGATGATCAGCAGGAATTTGCCACCCACACTGCTCGTCAGAGGAAATCGCACCCCCGTTTTGAGTTATTTTAATTAATCTATCTATATCTACGTCACTTCTTCTTGTGATGGCCGTGCATGGTTGCATTTTATGTAGGATTTCTCACGAATTGACCAAAGGTATTTGATATCATTCATCAAGATTGTTATGTCATGATGCTCAGTCGACCACAAAATAGTCATTCCATGTTGTTCTAATACTTTTCTAATAAAGATTGAAATGCGAAGAAAAAATTTCTAGCGCTATGTTATCTCGCTTGAAGATTTAGCTGACCGCGTACGCACTACAGATTGGAACATACAAAGAGAACTATCATTTTTCCCACTAATACCTTAATTTGAACAAACTGGCTAGCTGTGCATTCAAGAAGCTCGAAGTATTGCTGCTCTGTACACAACTGATGAGTTTCCTTAAAGGCAAATCATAGTGTCAGTCGAAAATTTTATAGGATGGCGCAAAAGGCTGAAGAATTCTAGAGAAACTATTCCAGGATTAAGCTTAGAATAATCAATTGTTGCCAGTCAAATGGTCCACGGCTGGTCGTTACCGCGATGTGGATGTTCCTAGTCTCATCTAGTCGAATCATCTGTGGGCAGCACTGCTCGAATGGGAATTTCAGCCAGCGTGCCATTCTTTATAGGACGGACGTTAATCTATTCCCGCCATCCAATACGATCTGCTTTTTGGCAGGCACTGCGTCCTGTAGCAGTCGGTACTTCATTTGGTGGCACATAGCGTGCCAATATCTAAAAACCGACTTGTTTCAACTTTGATAACACTACTCAATAATTTTTCACATGTTCGAGCTGCCATTATGAAAGGACACCACCGAGTGAAACTCACCATTCAAGCGGTGCTCCCTCGACTGTATTCAACTCAATAAGACAACCTTCAGCTGTGGACCATCGACTCTGATCACCTCCGCTCTGAAGAAGGCGGCGAAACGTTGGTCGAATAAAAGTTTTTGTACCAACATCGTCTCTCAGCTTAGTCATATAGAAAATTATGCATTGCCGTTACCAAGATTTAACGAAAGTCTGTTTTGAGATGTTGCTGATCCACTGAATTGCAGCTCCGGTACACAATGATGTGTGTCTCAAAATAGAATCACTTCAAACCACACATTCTCATCTACGCTTGATAACCAATAATACGAAGATAAGAAAACTTTCAAGAAGGAGTAGCAAAATTTCTTCCTGTTTTGAGTGAAATCACTTGAGGAATAGTGGTTTGAAAAATCAGCATTTAAACGTTTCTGTACAAATATGCTACATGGATCTCTCCCACGGGACTCCTAGCGAGCTAGTCGCGAAGTAAGGTGGCGCGACCCATGGCCGGAGAAGGGTTAAAGGTCCCGCAAAAACGACCTCGTGTTTTTCTGACACGCAAGTGGAACCAGGGAGTGGACTCCGTTTTCTACTACACCGATATTGAACATCTGTATCAACAACTGCCAGAATACGTAATGTTTACCTTTCTTACTTATTTTTCGCCTTCTATAATTTTTATGGCGGGGTATTAAGCGAACTACAACCAAAATATTGCTGAAATATCTGTAAGAACGAGCTGAGAGAAAGGCAAAACGAAGGACCCGCATGATGTGGTGGTCAAAGCGTTACTCCCTGGAAACGACAATAGCGCGTTCTTTCCTCACCGCATACACCTGCTGTCAGGAGTTTTGCAAATATCTCATCAATATTGTGGTTGCATTGCCAGAATAGTTGCTATTCTTTCGTCTTATCGTGTGTTCCTACAATAACCACATTCGTGGTCCCTCACATCGCATTGCGATCTTGCGGCATTTAAATGTTTTCACTTCATTCTGAGAAACTTTGTTTGTCATAAACACTCTTTGTTATTCAAACCATTTTATGCAGTCGGAACTCTTTGTGTGTTGTTTCAGTTCCAAGCTGTTACATACACGACAACACAAAGGGCATGAATTTGTCTGCGAAACGGTCCTCAGTCATTTGGTCTGATCAAAAAGGAGCTGAATGCGAAAGTCGACGAATGTTTTCGGTAAATGATCTAGGCCCGTGCCAAAAACCGCCTCCTTCAAAAGGCATTTAAAGAGCCCCGTGAGTTAGTACCGTATTCGTCTCGCCAGGGCCTCCTGTACATCGTGTGTGGTGCACCACGTAGTTAATTCAAATTGTTAACTCTTAATGCAAGTGTTCAGTATTGTATATTAACTTTCTATCAATGTATTCTATATGAATATAATACTGTTTCGCTACCCTATATGTAAGCAACTAACCAACCAGCCTTACTTTCACTTACTGATCATTATACCCCACATTGCAGCCTGTATTGCTAACGGATATTCACATATTGTCATTGTTGAATTATTATTGTCACAAATGGCTTAATTACCCAAGTTTGAGATATTGCTACGCGACAACTGCGAAAAGGTCCCGCGTGGCAACTTCTACGAAGTCGAGCATTCTACTCAAAGCTAGTGATCATAAGGTGCCGAGAACTGACTCAAAGACCTAATTTCCACTTGCAACCACGACAACATTACTTTTCATATCTACGTAGACATGCCAATGCAAATTTGTTTGAATGTTCTTGCGATCATGCAGATTGTACTATACAAGTCACTTCGCCAAAAAGCTTGCAATTGAGTGACTGGAAAGCACATGGAAGGTGGTCAAGAGTTATCGCTAACAAATAAGCTCCACGTTTACTCTGTGGGTGATAAACTACCCACAAGTGTATCTATCCCTCACATTGAGAACTTGGCAGGCTACGCGTTTATATCAATAGTCAACGTGTCAATAGACAAACACAATAAAATAAATGGTCCTTATTTTCTTTGCCGCGGAAGACCCCCAAAACGGTGGTGCTAGGTAAGAGCGAATACAGATAGAATGCTAGAACTTCAGAGAGGTTCTAGGATGTATAAATCTTGAAAGGTTATATAATGGTGTCCACGTCAACAGTTTGGTCATGGTCGATTCTTCTGAAAACTAACAACTCGAATCGGAAATTTACGATTAAACAGATGTGGATCAATGCCAGCTTTAACAATCTTCGCCTTCTATACACCGACCTCGAGCGATAAGGAAGGCGAGGTCGAAGCGTTTTACGTGAACTCGGAGAAGTTCTACAAAGTAGAACACACATTCTTTAAGGTAATCATCGGAGGTTTTAACGCTGAGTGGACCCAGAAGAGCGCAGATCCCAAGTTCCCTTTGTCTCTTCCGAAATCAGATATGCTATTTCGTGAGTGAAGAATCAAACAACACCAGGTCCAGACAAGATAAAATCTGAACCCACAAACAGCTTCCCGCCCTTCCTTATAAACACACTGGCTCGGCCTTTCACACTTCTCTGTCAGAATGAAAGGTTCCTCCTCAATGGCAGGCCAACAAAACTGTGTGATTGTTGATGAATAGTGACCTCCACGAGATCAGCAACTGTCATCCAATCTGATTGCTTTCAGTGCTCTACTTGAGTCATCTTAAAGAGGATTGAAAAAATGCCGGGCGAAGGAAACCCATTTGAGCAAACATGGTTTCGAAAAGGTTTCAGTACCGTTGATCACATCAACAGGATAACAAAATTCATTGAAGTATAATGAGAGCACGAGCGGCCGTACTGTCTCACCTTCATCGATTTAGTGAAAACGTTAGACTCTGAGGGATTACGTACATGAGGAAGACCACCGACCCAGTCGTCAGAGTACTGAAAAAAAAACAAGAAACCCCAGAAGAAAAATATGGTGCTCAACAAGTCCCAAGAACATGCAGAACCCACTTGGATACCCGTACACATGACAGGGAGAAATGGAAGAATTACAAGCATTAGTTCGAGTCACTCGACAATCAAAAAGACGACAGGTGGTGCAGGTGACAAGTAACTCTTATCCTATGCAAAAGCGACAAAGGGCCCATCCTGTGTGCTTCACTTTTGTTTACTTCCCTTCTCTTCTTGCATTGCCGTTAATGGATAATTGCTGATAGCACCATTAGAGTGGAAAACTGGCTGTGTGCTGCATAGCATGTAAATCCACTCTAAAGGTTATCAAGGGTTCGAAGCACACCTACGGTTCTATCGTTCCTATCGTTATATCGTATTACATAGATATCTCCGTGAACTAAAATAGAAACCAGGAAACAGATTTTTTTTAGCGAAACAACTCTGTGCAGATTTATTGGTATATTCTATGAAATAAACAACAAACTGGAAGAAAAAAGCGTCAGACGCATGGCGTGATGTCAAAAATACCTGTGCACTGGAACACAACAACAGAATTCGAAGGAGTACCAAGCTTTTGCCCTTTTCTGCAGATCGATAGAAAAGCACCTATTTAGATGAAGCAGTGAGATTTCTGCAGTTGTAAATAAAATGAGATTAGGCTCACACAACACTTTCCTTACTTCCAAATTCCTTGTTTTCAATGCCACATTTACGCTTAGGTGTTGAATTTTCCACTGACGGAACGTTATCGAAGTAGCCGATTGTGAGGCATTCCGGTATCATCAATTCATTCCAGCTCCAAACCCATAAATCTAGCACCTGAAAGCATTCTAAGCCTTGTATTAAGATAGGCTTAGATCTAGGCTCATGAAAACATTTCAAACAGCATAACAAACAGTCTTGTTGTTTCATAGGTCATCCTTGGCTTACTACATATTAGCCATCCATTTATCTGCGTTGAGGCAAATGCTAGGGATAGCATACTAGCAAGGTTTTTGTTTACCGCGAAGAAAACCTTGCAGAAACTTGTGCTGCCTGCAGCACTTCACTTTTGCTCAGCAATTCGAGCCATAAAATCCCCGTTCTTCTCTGCAGTTGACTACAAGTGTTAAGTAGGCTCTAGTCCATTAAGACACGTCAACCAATTCGCCAGCTTCTCCTGTCCACTACGCTGTTTACCATAAAAACTTTTTTCACGAACAGAGGGTTAATAGAAAGTCGATCCTGGGACTTTTGCTATTAGGTTACGTACTTCTAACCTTCTTATGAAGGGCGCGTGTGGCGCAGTGGTCGGAGGCGCCCTGTGACAAACACGTGGAATCGATCCCCGGGCTCATGACCCAGCAAGCCTTCCATCATTACAGGTTCGGAAAATTGGTTTCAGACTTGTCTGGGAAGAAAGCAGCACTTGCTCGATACATCGGTAAAACACCGTGAGTCATTGTAAAAGCCTCATATGCATTCAATCAGCTCCGACCGATGCTTAATGAAATCGGATCCATGGCGCATTCCTCAGGGATTGATCAACGGCGAGAGCACTACCTTTACTTATCTCATGACGTGTTCAAGAATGCGCCCATTAAATTAAGCAGTGTTGCGTCACATAACATTGCATCACATCCACCTCTACGTCTCTACCTTTTTAATGCTGCCTCGTATTCTGAAAAGAATCGAAGTTCTTTGAGTGATGAAGATGAAAGCACGATGACCTTCTTGCCGGAAACTTTCCAAGTGTGCGGCCTGCCTCTACGGTGGGCACGATTCTGCTTTCGAGTATAGTAGCTATTCATACTCTTCTGATAAATAATATACTGAATAGGGTCATGATCTTTGTATTCACACGCAAGTGAATTCCAAACACAGGATTATTATTGCGCATATATGAAAACATGTCCAGGCATGCATGCATGAATGTGGTTGTGCTTGTGCAGTATTCTATAAACCTACAACGCATGGGCTATAAGTCAATCCTGCCCGTGAACTTGTGTCTCATGTAACTCCTTATCTGTTACCTGGGAACATAGCAGATATCTTTGAGCCAAACTCTGCTTGAGATTCATTGAGACATAAGGCGTGTGGTATTCCGGATTGCATACATCGCTGAACGATTTGCTCCAAACTGTGGTTTGAACTGCGTACCACATTGTCTAGTTCTTTCCGAAAACGACAGCATTTGAGGAAAGTTTTCGTCTTAACAAGCTCTCATGGCATCATCGACATCAGCAGCCAAAAAGAGAAGTATTTGAAATAGCTGAGAACTGTTTACTGTTTACGTCACCTACGTTTCAACCAATGGCGCTATTTGTTTGGAGGTCGTTCTTCTTCACTCTCCGTAAGTACTTTACATTTAAAACCAACGAAAGCACTTAAATATACAACAACAAAAGACAGAATAAGTGTGAACTTACGTGGAGAAAAATCCGTCTGACGCCGCAGTTCATCTGCTGGTCATCAGAACAAATTTTCGAACGAATTTTAACAATCAGACGATCAATTAGGTATGAATTCAGATTATTCAGTGCCGCGCCGTGGTTTGTAAGAATTGTTCCTGCTGCCTAAAAAGTCGATAAAAAGAGTCACGGTACGCCAGCAGAAGAGAGAGGAGCTTTCTGGCTGGTGCAAGGCTTACCTCTAAATCTTCGGAAAGGGCATGTTCGTCTAGTAGACTATCCAAAGATTGAAACATTGGCTTCACCAGACATTTTGCCACAAAGGGATCGAATTCAAGAAAAACAGTGTACATCCTGTAAGAAATTGGCAGTCTTCGTATTTTAGCACGATCTCTTCAAAAACAACTTACTCGAATAGCGCACATGTGCTGTTCCTGAACATAAGTGCTGAACGGCGGCGCATTTCCAGCCGATTACGGTAGTCATTTAGAAGCAAAGCCAAAACACACGATGACAACGCAAGTCCATCAGAATTTGTCTGTAACACACAAGAAAGTGTTTTTTCTTCATGTTGATTTTTTTCTTGAGAAAAAAAAAGCCTGAATCTTTCCAATGACCGATCAAAAGCACTCATCCATTCCTGTCTTCGTGCTCGTGTATAATCACTGCTCATTTTTCTGTCGGCTTTTCTCCTCTTCTACTACCTTTTCGTTCGCCCCATAAAGAAAAATCGCATGTGTGAAAAACTCAACTTATACTAAGCCTCATTATTCTGCTCATACATTTATGCAAGAACATTAAGAAAATGTTGGAAGATGAGTATGATGATGATGACGAAGTCAACGGTGATTGTATACCTAACGATCATCACAGAATCAACCTGTTGTTGATAGACGATTTCTGTTGCGCAGAGCTGAAGCATTTCCATGAATTATTTATGAGCATTTCGCAGCTGAAGAACGAGATGAGTAGATTCTAAAAAGATTTCTGTAGGATGCAGCTGACGAGGTGGGAAGATTCATCGGCCTTTGTCTTGAGATGAGAATGATTAAACCGACGCACTTGAGGGAGTTACTTCACTTGCAATCCTTCTTTTTCAAATCTATTGCATCCCATATTGTATCAAGAGATAGATCTGAAAACCTGCAAGCTAACCATCACTTTGTCGACGACGTCGTGCACTACCGACGGGGCAGATTGATAGCAAACAGTTAGCTTATCAGTAGTAAATGCGGCAGATTAGACAAGCCTTAGGAGTACGTATGCGCTTATGCTCGAGTGGGGAACGAGCGCGCTATTGTCCTTTCCGGGGAGTAGCGCGTTCACCACCACACCATGCGGGTCCTTCGTTTCGCCTGTCTCTCAGCTAGTTCTATCGATCTTTTGCCATCAGCAATCACCCGTCGGCGAGATTCATCTGGGGGGCCCTAATCGACAACGAACCCAGTTAGGCTGAGGCCGCAGTTATAATCACAATTTTAACTTATTATTTATTGCCTACTCTTTTTAACGGCAGGGTGTGTTGCGAAACTTCAAACATCAGTAAAATGTTGTAATAACGAAACTTGATAGCTGCTTATAAAAAAATTGTGCTGAATACCAATGAAGAGAGCATACTCTGCGGCCCCTTCCAACGATTTATCCTCTCGTCATGGCTGAGAGGTATTCTTGAGTATCACGCTGCGATGTAGAGCGGAGGGATTCATCCCCCCACCAAGGCCTTCCACGCCGAGAAGGAATGCAGCATTTCCATCAGGAAGCCTAGCTAGGAGTAAACCAACACCAGGATCCATCAACGTCCTGGTATCAAACTAGTCGCCCGATGGCATATCTCCCTTTAATCCACAAGGCGGCAACTGCCTGTGGTATCGACGACCTGGAGCAGACTTTGGCTAAGCTGACCTCGACACTCCAGGAAACCACAGTGAATAAACCAGCAGAGGTCCGAAAAAGTGGAAGTTGTGCTAGAGCCCGCACAACCAGTGAAGATGGGCCATCCAAGTGTCCAAGTAAGTATAACTATACTCTGTGAGCATTGAGCCATTCCGAAGAAGTAAGCTTTTTCTAACTTTCGAGCATCACTATTCAAATACAACAGTGGAGACATTTCTGCACGCTCATCATTGGCACTGTTCCTCGGCTGCCAAACGAACTTGCAGGACGAACAATTTTTTAAAAATTTTTTATATGACCCGTCTTCACTTTTAAGGTGCAGATCCTAGCACTTCTCACATTCGATTCATATCCTGGCATCCATTATTCACGAAGATCTTCCAACCTTCATGTATGGCTTCGGCTGTTGCTCGAGGATTTTCACTTCATCTTGAATGCGAGAATGCTGGCAGAGTCGATTCTCGCTGGAGTCCTGAGATAGCCGAGCTGGAGCGTTCCCAGTTGGATTGCAGCGTGTGATTTTCCCAGGACAAGTCCAGTACCAATTTCCCGACCCCGAAAGGATGACAGGCTTGGTAGGCCTGGAGCGGAATCGAACTCGCACCATGTTCGTGCAGGCGGAGATCACTATCACTGTGCTATCCGCCCCTGAACAGTTTCTTAACCATTAAGAATGAATATATTTGGTCATCAGTCCCGCTGACGGGTGATTGCTGATGGCAAAGATCGATAGAACCAGCTGAGAGAGGCGAAACGAAGGACCCGCATGGTGTGGTGGTGAACGCGTTACTCCCCGGAAAGGACAACAGCGCGTTCGTTCCCCACCGCAGACACCTGAGGTCCGGAGTTTTGCAAATATCTCAGCATCATTGAAGTTATATTTCGCAATATACCCTGCCATTAAAAAGGATAGGAAGTGAATAAAACGGTTAAGATTGTGATTATTTGGTCATAGTTCTTGAATGATTTCTGACACTGCATATTATAAAAATAGCTGTCGAGTAAATACAAGAATTGCAGGAGGTCGCAATAAATCATTGAAAAGAAGTGCTTTTGAGACCAATGCCTATCACTTACTCTTCCCACCCTACTCCATTGAATTCAATGCATTTTAGGAGCTGCGTGTCAACATAGCAGTGAAGAGAGTGTAATTTGCCCATCAAAATATTTTGCAAAGTGAACACAGTGTGAATTAAGATTTTGCATAAGAACAAAGAGGCAGCTTCTGAAAAAAGAACGTCATTCGTCAAATTCGACGTCATTCTTTAAAATCTGGTGGCTTGGTGATGAATGAAGAAAGGAAAAAAGGGAGCGAATGAACTCACTCTTCTCATGTGAAGGACAATGTTCGCCGCAATGTTTATGAATCGAGTGTCGGAGAGCCACCGTTGGTGTAACAGATCGGCCAACGATTCCGGTGAGTGGTTGTGAATTAAGATGCTGTACGCCTGCACTGCAATTCTGTGTTTCTGGAGGAAATTTTCCTGTAAAATGCATGAAAAATGGCTCTACAATTCCGATAATGTGGATGTAATGGGCATAGAAATCCGTTAGAATAACTCGCTCTTAAGTAGCTTTTATTTTCTAGAGCAGCATCCAGCAGATCGTGTATTAGTGGGGTATGTTTTGTGATCAGTAAAGCTGTATGGAGCACAAGTACACTGAATACCTAGCAGGGTTCTTAAACAGATTGTTGTCGTTGCGTCGATTTTCCATGAAACTATCAATCAGCGCTACGACTTCCAAGTCTGTCCACTCACGTTAGCATGCATTGTGAAATCCACCTTCAAGGACGCTGAGACAGGAGCAAAACTCGGAACTTCAGTTGGTCTTCGAACCCGTTATTCTTAGGTCGTAACCCATGACATGTCCGATTTAAAATGCAAACTTTAAATAACCATAACTTTTTCATACTAAATTTTATTAGTCGAAATAAGCGCCATTAGAACCAGAACATCTTTTCCAACAAAAAACAAATTTTATGATTCCATTAAAACAAAAATTTTCGGTTCTGATGTCGATTAAATCTTTAAATGCATTTTCAACGATGGTTTGGTCGTTGAAAATTTTATCCTGCAGGAAGTGGACCAGATTCTTAAAAGAAAAAAAATCCGTTGGCGACAAATCTGGCCAGTAAGGAGGATGTGGTGAAGTTTCGTAGTGCGCTTCTCTCAGCCTTCTTAATGTCATTTCGGAAACGTGTGGCCTTGCGTTGTCATGAAGCAATATTGGTCCTTTTCTGTTGACCAATTCCGGCTGCTTGACGCGTATTTTTTAATGCACTTCTTCGATTTCAGCGAAAAATTTCTCTGACGTAATCGTTTCGCCAGGTCCTATGAATTTCTAATGAACTACACCGGCCACTGACCACCAGTCGGAAACCATTGTCTTCTTTGGATGCACACTCGGTTTAGGCCTGTGTCGTGGGTTCTCACCGACGTCTAGTCATTGTGTGGAACGGCGGCGATTATAGTACAGTATCCACTTTTCACCACAGGTTATAATGCGGCTCAAAAGTGGATCTCTATCGTTGCAAATCAGTAGCGAATTGCAAATTTCCAGACGTTGATTTTTTGCTCTTCGTTGACTTCATGTGGAACCTATTTGTTCATTTTTTTAACTTTACCAATTAGCTGTAAGTGACGTGAAATGGTTATAGCACTGACTCCAAACATTGTCGCAAGTTCTCGGACCGTTTGACAAGGATTTGATTCCATCGAAGTACGAAGTGCCTCATCATCAAGCGTAATTTCTGGCCTGCCACACTCGTCGTTTGCATGGCTCTCGTCCCGGAATTCAAACTTTGTGTACCAAAGACGAATAGTGGGTCACTTAACAAAGCCGTCTCCGAACGCGGCATCGATATTCCGAGCTCCTGCCGAGGCATTATGTCCACTCTTCCACTCGTACAAAAAAGGTGCGAATACCGCGTTGATTCGTACTAAAGTTAAAGCCTGTAAAAATGTTAAACCAACAATTCTTGAAAAGACCAATACGAGATATAGAAAGAGCACACTTTGTGCTTCAAAAATACATGAGTATACATAAAAACAAAATTTTTCTTTAAAAATAAATAAAAAAGTTACTTGGAAAATTAAAACAATGAAATCGTACATTTCACAAGTTACAAGCTAATACCCCTGCCGGATGCTCGCAGCCTAAAACGCAAACCGAGGCCTTTTCCTTGCCATTCCCTCAGCCATGCTTCTGCTCTGCCGGTGATAACATCATTTACCCGCCGACAAGAATCAGGTAATAGAGAAACCATAATATTTAATGATCTCGCACACCACATGAAAATATTTACTTCTTTTATATGTCGGAATTCACATACAACGAAATGGTATTTCGAAAAATTGTAAGCTCAAGACTTAGCGGCGAGCTAAATGAGGACACAAACCTGGAACCGGTCCCTGTTGGGCCAGGGTTGCCAACGACGAAAAGAGTTCACGCAACTGTTCGTCATTCATTCCTGAACCTTCGTTTTTGTGTGCATCACTGTTTTCCGAAGCCACCCAGACAGAATCGTCCAGAGGTAATCATAAACTGGTGCCCATGCCAAGTCTTCACGCTTCAACTTCTGTGTGCAATCCTAAAATCAACATGTGAGCAGTTTTTACGGATTGAATTAAGGCTGAATTTCGAGCACAGAAAGCGACTTATCATTTCCATCGATACAACCTAATTTAAACATTGTGATCCGAAAAAGCAAAGCATATTCAACAAATACGAGTTAATAAACATTATCCTCCCACCGGTCTACCGCCTCACCGTGGCTGGGAGGTGTTCCTGGGTATGGGGCTGTCATGTACAGCGGGACGATTCATTCCTTTAGCAGGGTTACCCAAGCTGAGAAGGAGTTCGGCGTTTCCATGAAACGACCTCCAGTTCAAATTACGTTGACGGGTGATTGCTGATAGCAACGATAGAGTAAAAACAAGGTTTAAAGGAAGACAAAACAAAGCCATTGATTGGTGTGGTGGATAACACGTAAGCCGTTGCTAAAGAGTAATCGCCTGTTCGAAGTCCACATGGGCTACTGAGTTCTGCTCATATCTTAGTACCCTTTTTGTTGTATTTCATATTGTAGCTTTCCATGGAAAAGGAATGGACAGTAAATAAATTTAAAACTGATTTGGGATTGTCTTCTTAGTAGTCGAAGAGATGAGAGAGGTAAAGGTGAAAGGCTAAACGTACCCCACTGCTATTTCGTGTATGTCGATATTCCTGCTTTTTGTCGGTTGTAAGGCAATCGCATGGAATTTGATATGGCCTACGGACTCAAAAACAGCGTGATGGTTGGCGGCAGAGAGTGCTCTGGTGTTGTAGATGATGAGCAAGAAACAGCCTCTATGGGGTGTCATGGTCGTGTTATTGCGGTCCGATCTGAGTGGTGTCCTATGAACCTCGAAATTTTGCTCCCACTGATATCTCATTGCAATACATGGGAGACGACAGCGCCAAGAATGCTGGATGCTGAAGCTGTTTTAATGTTGCTTGAGCAGTTCCATTATCCCTAGAGTCTCGATGTATCCTTGCCAGGGCGTTTCCAGGTCTTCACTACGGAAAGTTGTTTATTCTTCTGAATCGAGAGGAAGCATTTCAGTTTCAGCGATTCAAACTACTGACAATCCGATTAAACTGAAACGACTTTTCAGGCGAAAAATAAGAATGGAAATAAAATTGTAAAAAGGCAAGCGATAGCTGACATGATGGAAGGTCGGAAACTCTTGTTTAAGGAGTTAAAAGGGCTCTTCACTCTGAGGTGTATTCAGCATTATTGGCAGTGCAGGGAAACTTGGATGGTTTCTACTTACGATTCACGAACCCCAATTTCTATTTGTTTCGTTCTCTTTTGCAACACTTTCTTTTCCGATGGTTGATTGCATCGAGCATTGTGGCTTCCATGAATATCCTTTAGTTCTATTCGTTAACTACGATAGAAACTAAATTGACAATGGATCTTTCCACCCTAAACACCTCATAAATCAGAGGTCAGAATGTTTTAATAAATGTCTCTGACAAAAGAAACTAGAGGAAAAGGGATTGCTGATGGCAGAGATCGATAGAACTAGCTGAGAGACAGGCGAAACGAAGGACCTGCATGATGTGGTGGTGTACGCGTTACTCCCCGGAAAGGACAATAGCGCGTTCGTTCCCCACCGCAGACACCTATGGTCCGGTGTTTGCAATCTCAGCATCATTGAAGTTAAGGGAGAAGGTGCTTTTATCTCATTCTCTTCGTTACAAAAGATGTGAAGACTTTAGGTAGGATAAACGCTAAGAGGGTGTAACAACCTCAGGCTCTAAGCTAGTTAAACCTGGAACGGTTATGATGTTGAACTGTGTTTACAACCCGCACACTTTAGGCTTTTAACCTTACATTGAAAATTAAATAGTGAGATTGTTCTTTGTTCACGATTAAGCTGACGTTTCGGCGAATTTCGCCTTCTTCAGAGCCTGGAAAGGTCAAGTTGACAGCA